AAAATGTGTTTAGTACATTAGAAAATCTGTCCGAAGCCAAGCTTTTAATGAGAAAGAAATGTAAAGAATCCATAAAAATTCAGTTGCTTCTCGGAGAACTAAAGACAGTTCAAGCTAAAACATTTATAGATTAGAGATCATTCTCACCGGCTTTCTGCAAGCTGGCGCCCTATCCTCCATTTTCTATCCAGTAACCGTTAAAACGCAAGCACAGCGCCAAAACTAAAATTAATACTTAGAAACATTAATTTAGTTTTTTTAAAATATTGACCAAACAAAAAACCGCGACAAACTCACTTAAAGATGAAACTGTCGCTAAACTTCCGAGCGATGATTGAAACCTACGAAATTTCAACTAATTAAAAATGTTACTATTAGCCAAACGGCTCAAGCGCAGCTTCAGCTTCGCAGTTTTTAGGACATCCTGGAAATAATGTCTCCCTGACGTTTCACAAGCACCACTTCTTGCATCTTCAGAGGTATTTTTATCAGTTTCAAGCAATGTTGATGTAGAGCATAAAAGAGCAAATGGAAAAAAGTCCATTCTTCCCATACGTTTGTTTTGGTTCACGTCTGTGCATATGTTTTCGAAATTATCTGGTCGTTCACCGATGTGAAAGCCTAGAGAAGAAAAACCGCGCTCGCCACTTCGCACTTAATTAAAAAGGAGAAAATTGGCCAGCTTTCGGAACCCTTCCAGTTAATTGAGCACTTGTTTGTTTCCGAATGAACACGTAAAAGGTGTGGGCAAAAAGAAATATTTCACTGAGGAAAATTAGAGCAATTTCCCGAAAAAAAATTATCCAGTTCAACTGAAGGTCATTTGATCAATTGTCTGTGTGGCTTTTGCTTGAGAATGTGGCCCCATTCCACACATTAGCAAGTATCAAGCTCGATACTTGGATTATTCTGCTTTTCCTCTTATTTTGCCTTTATAATATCCAACTCCTGTTCCTGGAGGTTTTATCGTAGATTAAGATGAGCTGAAGCAGCTGGTTTTATTATCCGGGTTTTTGTGCTTGTGACAGAGATGGATCTTATTTGGGAGTCATTTATATCAGGCCCTTTTCCCGGACGTAATTTGGATTTGGCATTATTTTTATCGGCGAATATTTATGAATGTTGCTTAAATTTTATGTGGATTCGGACCGATTATTTTTTAGGAAAACCGTGATCAAAATAAATATAATAACTTTTCATTATTTTTCAATGTTCACACATAGACGTCCAAGTGAAAAAATCGAATGTTCTAAAAATGGAAGTTTCCAATAAAGCTTTTAGCTAAGTCGGCCGTAAAAGGCATTAAATTACTATAGCAGGACCATTTTCTTGGACACACGGCGATGGAAAACTCTAAACAACGTTACGAAGCCAGCAATGTCTAAATGGAGATTTATCTCGGTGGGAAAACTGGTGTTTTTCCTTATTAAAGTAAAGCGCTAGCGACAATATTTCTAAATGCACTTTTAGATCTGGCAACTTCTTTGTAACGTACATGCACTTGCCCTCCTCAATGCAGTAAAAATAGTTGAGTGAAACAGACTAGAGCCGAGACTAGATTAGACTAGTGCAAAGCAGATTTTTTCAAATCCAAATGTGTGCTAAAATACATTATTCAAACAGCTTAAGTCGCTTTTCACGAAAGGGATAACTTCCTCAGGCTGACACCTTGTGACCTCTAGCGATTTTCCACGAAGCAGAAGGGAAAATCCATACGTTTCGTACATTAACAGACAGCAGGAATTTTCATCCACAAACGCGAGGATAGAATTCCACTCGTGGCATCCTTTGCAAGAAACTTATTTTGGCCGCAGCTGCATTCAGCTTAAACTTTGAAAATTGGACATTGCTTTAAAAATATACAGGGTGTCCCTGATGATGGCCCCAAAACTCACGCGGTCATACGGGGATTTATGTCTCAAGTTCGTAAGCAGTTTTGCAGACTCTCGGAAATATTTTTCAGACACCCTATATAATTATCATTATTTAAATTTAGTTTACAAGATGCAGATGATTACTATGCTAATTCTAGGGCGCGATTCTGGAACCGATTTCAAGGAAAAAACTCGATATGCAGAACTTTTGAAATACCGAGTGAAAAAGTTTCCGGATTTTTTTATTTGGAAAACATCATCAAGATACATTTTTCGAGCTACAGACAATTTCATTATTTTACCAGCGTCCCTCGTTCGGGTGGATTAGAGTAGAAAATGTTTGGAAAAAATGGTCCACCATAGCTTTCTCTTAAAATGAAATTAATTTCCATAAATTTCTGAACAAATTTGCAGGTTTTCGCTTAAAAAAACAAAAATTGTTTTAAATCAGTGCCAAATCGCTAGATCTGATTTTTCTCAAGCTATTGACTTACTCTCGTAAAAATTATTCAGAACTACTCTTCCTGTGCGTACAAAGCATGAAAATGTATGCTTTAAAGTCGCAAAGATTTGCATCTAAACCTCATAAAAATAAAAAGGAAAATGTGAAAATACAACAGAATACAATGCTCGTGCTGCAGATCAGAGGCAAATTAAAATAAGTTTTGATGAAACATCTAATATTTCATAGTCGTCATCTGGTAAAAGTCGAATCCCATTTTCATCAAAGGCAATTCAAGAAGGAAAAGATAAAAGTTTTCAATATTGAAAGAATGCTGTAGTGTGGGCTCGGTATTAAGAATGCGGAACACGAAGTTTTGGTTTAGCATGGAATTTTCGTAATATAAATTCTAAGGCTAAAATTACGTTCCTTCATAATCATATCTGAAAACTTTGCAAGATGGCAAGAGGAAAAAAATGAAGCAAGTAGCGACGAGTTTTATAGAGGTGCCGTTCAGCAAGGCAATTTCGGATTTCGGCTGCATAGTTAAGCAGGTGAAACTGCAGAGCCGAAATAATAATCGGACCATTATGGGTATGGTAGGTTTCAAATAATCCCATTTGCGCCGGCACAGTTCTTGCTAATAAATCCGATAAAACGTTGCAGCACACTAATGTTGCCCTTAATTACAAATAATGAGCTCATTTACGCACCCGCTCTCTCAATAATCCTGGCTGTTGGGTGCATCCGACATTAGAATAACGGTGGAACCGATTAGACAATGCCTCTTAACGTGTTAAAATAGCGCAAGGCCCAACTGGAGCCCTGCATAATTAAAATAGGCAACAAAGCTAAAAGCCAGAGTTATTTCGATAAAGTCCAGATGTGGCAAGATCTGCATTCACCTCATAGGGGCGCAATCCTTTATCAGCAATTGTCCGACCGCGTTTTCATGTTGCGGATTTTGGTACAATCTGGCTTTATGCCTGTTAATGAGCGCATTATGCGACCATCGTGGATAGTGGAGATGGAAATGCAAGTTTGTTGCCGTTTTCCATGATTTTCTCTGCTCTAATTAACCCTCAAGCCTCCCATCGTCAAGTTTCCTGAACGGCATCGGCTGAATAAGATGGAAACCGAGCTGAATAATGGCTGTAGTTATTCCGATTTCCTACCAGGAAAAGTCATTGTATTCCTAGAGGCAATAATGTAGAAATACGGTTTGCAGTACGTTTTCCCATTGTGGCTCTATAACGAAAAGAGCGATTATTTCGTGACAAACTACTAAAAACAAGACTTACGTTCTACACACACAAATAAGCAAGATTTCCCAAAGGACAAAGGCAATACTCTTAAGTTTCTTTGTTTGTCGACTTCAAACGTGAACTGACTGAGTATTACTTTTCTAGTGTACTCTAGCCGAAATTGAGCATAATGGATGGCTTAACTGAAAGGTTTGATTTGAGAAATTGCACGTTTATCTGATTGATTTCTGTGCCAGCTATTGAATTTCACCAGGCCATTTCATTAGCTATAAATCATATAATCATCATCATCATCATCATCAATTAACTGCTTATTGTATAAATCAACAGCAAGGAGCGTTCATGTTAAATTAACAATCCGGTTTCTTACGCTGCCACGGGAAAAAAGCAAATTAAATACAGGGGTTGAAAGAAGCACTAAATAAAGTTGAGTGCAGCTGTTATTAAGAATGGACACAAAAAGCGAGAAGTGAGCAGCCTCTTTTCTTGGATACTTTTTCTTCTTTTGTTCAGTCGCAGCTCGCCAATTACGGTTTACTCTCGCTTTATTAAAACAATTTTCGGTTGAGTTTTGTATGAGAATCAAGTCGACGTAATGGTTTTTATCTTCCAGGGCATTTCGCTCTTTATTCGCGCTTTGTTTGATTGCTGTTTAATTATTGAACTATGGTTAATTGGTGTCTTTTATATAAACGCTTCTTTGAAATGGGGACATTAAATTTGCTACCTTCTTGTATCTGCTATTGTCCAGAAATAATTAATTTTTTCTTTTGCCTTAATTAATAATAATTAATCTCAAGTAGGTGTTTGTTTACCTTTTCTATTAAATGGTCGTACTCTTTCCTCTCGCAAACTGACTTTTGATGTGCACGTCAATTACTATGACATTTAGTCAATTAAGACGCGAACTTGTTTGTCATTAGCGGTGTCAATTCTTCAAAAAAATCGATTTATTTGCATTGTTTAGAAGAAAAGACTGAAAAAGTGAGTTTTCCAGAGTTTTGTTGTAGTGTCTTCACACGATTTGCAAGTGCGGTTTTAAGAAAATTGCGCGATTTTTCAATTAGGCCACAATCTGACGTTTGCTGTCAAGTGAATAGGATTTTGCGTTTGAACTTTTAGGACTTTCCTGGACCCTGCTGAAAAATTCTGCCCCTAGAAAAGAACGTTTAGGATACGGAAACTACGCTAAAATTAGTGCAAATTTGGCCTCTTAATAGCGTTGAAAATAACCCGTTTGTAGCTCAAGATCCACAGATTAAGGTACAGTGCAATTGACGTTAACTAGAAT